CCTTGTAAAAAGCTTTCCTGTAGGCCCCCTTTAAGTACTGGAAGGCTGCTATAAGATCCTATGATAATAAGTTATGAAACTTGTGCCATTATCATTTCTTCATGCATTTATACTTCAGTCTTGCTGATGTTTGATAAACTTCAGCTGGTTAACACCAAGTTTAGTGCTATCTTATTTAGAATTATTGTTTTACACATTGCAAATTTTTATTCTTTTGAGATTACATAAGAGATTTTTACTGGCAGCTCTTGAAAAAAGTGATTTATAAGGTTACAAAGGTACAACTATTTCCTTAGCCTGCCTCCCTCACATGTAGTCATAACATAAGGAATCTACAGCTCTTGGTCCTCCATTTCAAACACTTGAACAACAGTGGGTGCAGAAGTTACATAGCAGTGTTTTCAGCGGAGGATGAGTGGCAGAAGATCAAAGCTGGCATTAGGGAGGAAAATCCGGTCTTAAAGTCCAATGCCATGTGACAGCAAGCACGTTCCATCTTGGTGTAGAGGTTAGATAGACAAGTGTTGCTGAGAACAACAATGCTCATATACTGGTGTGTGAAAATTAGCTTCAGTGAGATTCTTTAAAAAGATCACCAAGACCAACATCATCTACTGATTGCAAAGAAGAGGATACTCAGTATTTAAGGAAGGTGAATTATTCTTTTTCCTTCCCTTCTCACAATGGGATAACTGGGAAGATCTGATCGTTTGCTGGTGCCTCTGTAAACCAATTCAGCTAAGTTACCCTGTTTAGTTAGGCTTTTTTTGCCAAATTAGCAAACTGAATTGACTCCCTGCGTCAGATAAGCACTTGAGCTAAGAGAAGAGAAGTGGAAAGAGCTTGCAGGTCAGCCTGGGGACAGGGGAGGGGTGGAAGAGCTGGCTGCTAGACATTCAAACATGCATCTTCCATGCTCAACATTAGACTACGGTTAGCAAGGATACATGCTATTTTTAAGGCTGTCATCACGTTTGGATTTTTGTTTGGTTTGGTTGTTGTTGTTTTTTTTTTTGTAATTCCAGGACTGCAAATCCAATCAGATTTCTAACTGTTACATTTAAAAACAGAAGTCTGTGTATGTGTGTGCAAGAGAAGAGGTACATAACAATGCAGACTATTCAGATGATAAAACCAGAGTTGATGTCACTCTCATATAGATAATACAACAGCATTAAATAAAATCACGTAAATAGAAAGCCATTGTTCATTTTAATTAGTTGTGTTGATACTGTAAAACCATTAACAAAACACTCTCATATAACCCCCTCCTCTCAAAAAACCCCGCAAACAGAAATTATCATCTGTATTATACTGATCCATTTAAAAAGTGACTTCTGAAAAAAGGGAATATACAGATAACAATTTCCCTGAAAGAAATTTCAATTGAATTATTTGCATTGGCCTAAATTTGCTACTGTCCCAAACAAAGTGAGCATAAAACACTATCGCTTTGCCAATTTAACATTTCAAACTCAATTTGGAACACCACCTGAGCTAAATTAGATCATTGTCCACTTTGCCATAGTATTTCAATAAGATCCAGTCTGCTTTGATCACAGTCAAACCAATAATCAACTCGAAACCACATCTATGCCAAAGACTATTTATCCCATATTTCAAGTCCTTCTTCCAGTGTTTGAAAGGGACACGGGCAAAAGAAAAAAGTGTGCCCATGACTGCCTACTTAAACTGACTGGGCTTCTCCCGCTTGTAATGAAAATGAGGCAGACTTTGTACGGTATTATCTGCCACAGGACAACTTTGCTTCCATTCCATGCCCTTTCAAAGGTAATGGAAATAATTAGTTTCCTTCTCATGTTTCTGTCTTATTAACATAGTTATCCAGCAAGTTACTTGGCTTGAGCAATGGATTTCTTAGCATAAAAATGAATTTATTGCTTAGTATTCTGAAGCATCATTTTTGTGTGCAGAGACTTTCGTAAATGGAGCAAATGTGGCCTGTGGTTAGCTGCGATACCTTTATCTGAAAAGTCTCTGGCAGCAGTGACTAATTTTAACTTTTTTGTTCTGTCAGAATTTGTGGGGATTTTTTTTTGTATTTTGTATCTTTTTGGTTTTTTTTTATCAGTAAGACAATGCACTTTGCATTGTCATTATGATAACTAACTAATCTATATATTTCATCAAGGTTATTTTGGTAAATAATATTCCTTTATAAACTATATTTACTTTTTATATTACTGGATTCTAACCTATACAATCTAGAAATATTTAAACGAAACCTCACTGTGTTAATTAGTTAAAATCTATTAACAACTAGGACAGAACATATAAATATTCAAGAGTCCTTTTTAATACATAACTTCTAATGATTAGAAGGAAGAAGTAAAGATGGAATTACCATTATGTTTCTTCCCTTTTTCTGATTTATATAATAATGGATATATCATTAAGCTTGCTTTACTTTTAAAAATTTCTTTCACTTTCACCTTCCCCCCCAAAAAAAGATTATTTAATTCTATAATCTTAAGCATGAGCTGTTCATTTCAGAAAAGGTCAGGAAAGAGCCAAAAAACCCTGAAGTATAGATCTATACATAGAAAGGATCAAAAGTCAAGCTTTGGGAAGACCTAAAAGGCATTTATGGCCTCTAGATCCCCGATTTAAAAATATATTCTTGCTTGTATTTCAATTTCAGATCTTACAGAAAAAAATATACACAAGCATTTGGTGAAACTGTTGGATTTAAACATCAGAGAGGCAATTATACTTGATAAAAGGAAAATAACATTTACTTAGTCTATTTCATACCTTCAGATTTTGTTTCTAATGTGAATACAACTCAAATGCTGCAGATGACAGATGATCCCTTAAATGTTCAGCATCTCAACAGTTCCAGAGCTTCCATAACTAAACCTTCATTAACTTGCTAGTTGAAATATAAAATAAACAGATTTTTCAGCCTCTTTTACATAGTCCACAGCTTCTACACAGCCTACAGCAGGCCTCTAACGATCTCTTTCCGCAGTTCACAGCGCAGCCTCCTCTGGAAGCCAAGTACCTGATACACTGTGAGGCTGCTGAGTCATTTTTATTTCTCAGAGTGCTCTCAGAGTTTGATACTACATACCATATGGCCACAGCCTTCATAAATGAAGTTTCAAAGAGGTCATCTGATGGCAGAATGGAATTGGCTCTGCTAAGCAGTAAAGCTGCTAATCGATAAGTGGAAGACCTGAAAGTGGTGGTTCCCTGAAAGGAAAATCCTGCATAATCCTGGTCTAAGCACTTACTACAGCAGCATGAAAATGCTCTGATTTCTCTTACTGGTGTAGACACTTTAAAAGCAAGCACATTTGTAATGATGTTTTTTCTGGGTTTTGGACTATTATTCAATCACTTTCTGCCCAGCAGAATGCAGTCATTTCTTGTCAGCATTTCTACTGCTTCAGATGCTCTTCCATTTACTCTATCATCTTGTCTTGGACTTTCCAGCGATTGTTCCTGTGTCCTTAACCTTACTTTAATCTTGATTGTGAACTCTCATCTTCCTGTTTTTTTCTGTCCATCCATCTTTTCATGCATCTCCACTATTGTGCTGAACTCTCATCTTCCTGTTTTTTTCTGTCCAAAGTTCATGCATCTCCACTATTGTGGAAATGCTCCTACTTTGTCTAGTTTTATTGAAAAACTCATCATCCACCTTTCTTCATGAACCATCAAAAAAGTCACTTTTTATGGCTTCCCATCTCAGATCTTACTCAGAGGCATGCACGGTCTAAGCCAACATAACAGACTTTCTACATGGAAATCTAAGTCTTTTTAAAGTTTATTTTTCACTAAATAGGGGGAAGTAATTAGGGCTTTTTAAAGTTTATTTTTCACTAAATAGGGGAAGATAGACTTATCTGGGGAGTAATTAGAAGAAGGAGTTGAACATTAGTGTTATGAGTTGCACTTTGCAAGAGCCTTTCACTCAGGAGTGTGAACAAGATATTTTGACAGTGATGGACTGTGTGGGGAGAGGATCATGTAAGTCACGTTTGCATGACTGTGGGTGCATACACAGTGGGTGAGGGAAGGAAGGAAGGAAGGAAGGAAGGAAGGAAGGAAGGAAGGAAGGAAGGAAGGAAGGAAGGAAGGAAGGAAGGAAGGAAGGAAGGAAGGAAGGAAGGAAGGAAGGAAGGAAGGAAGGAAGGAAGGAAGGAAGGAAGGAAGGAAGGAAGGAAGAAGGAGTCATTGGAAACAATGAAATTACCCTCAAATCTCTTTCTAGGGAAAAAGATACATGGAAAATTGTGGTCATCTGAGAAGAAGAGCATGTAGACCAGGTTCCTTGGCCTCCCCATATCTTTTGTCTCTGGTGGATATAAAGGTTGGTTCAAACCATAGCTGAAAGTTAAGCTTTCCAGAATGATCATTTAAGACTATGTCTACTTCTAAGCATAGAGGGAACATTTTTGTTCTTTTTCTGTCTTAAAAACCTTCAAACTTTTCAGTAGTTGCTTAAAGATAACTTGTGCAAACCGGAAATTCTGAACTTAAAATTAAAAAATAGCTCTTTTTGAACTTACATTGCATTGGTACTTATTATAGTCTAGGGAAAGTAATTTCTTTTGGGGGTTAAGAAAAACAGGACATGTCTGCTGTCACCTAGGAGTGTTTACATTGGACTTTTTTTTCCACCTGTGAGGCCATGAGAAGTAAATAACACTTACTCATTGGTAGTCAGCTCACGGCTGGCTTCAGCTAAAGGCTTAATCTTGAGTAACAGAGCCACAATTTTCAAGAAGGTAACCATGGATCTCATGTCTAACGATATCTACTGTTCCAAAAAGATGCCAACAATAGATGATTGTATAGTACATGCTGAAAACTCCTGACTGTGAAAAGACAGAAATCCAAAAGTCTGTTTTGTCTTAGCCACTGAGCTAATACTGTCATTATGGCTGAACCCACAGACTGCAATTACTCCATACTTCTTTTGTTCATTAGCAATTTTTATAAGTTTAAAGATTTTGGTGAAAGGACCTTACCCGTGCCTTCTGCTCCATCTCCATCATTAATCTTTCATGCTGCTCTGCTATTGCCAGTGTTGCGGAATGGACTTTCTGATATATCATTTCCCCTTCTCGTGTCTGAAAGGTGAACAGCCCTTCTCCTGTGTCACACATCCTGCAGTGAGATTTAAGCATAATGGAAGGGAAAAAAAAATGAGTACTGGGTAATTTTTATCTAACTATTTCAAAAAGTGCACACCTTGCAGTAGAAAATGTCGACTTTTGTAGTTAAACTCTAGAATTCTGAACATCCGCAGTTATTTTTACCATTGAAGAGAGACATATTCCAAGAGATGTGCAGAACTTCATGAATGTAACCTTTAAATTCAGTTTTAATCATCCTCTAGATAGTGAAAAAGAAGTCTTACCATAGAATAAAAACTTGAGGTAATACAGTCAGCTATTTATGTCATTGTTTTAAATGTCGACACTGGCAAGTGGGAGCTAAATTTAATTCTCTAAACCAACTGATGTCAGAAGTACACAGCACATCATGATTTTGAAAAGTTGAATGTTGACCAATTAGAAATGCTATTATGGCTGATCACTACAAAGAAGCTGTATTGAAAGACAGCAATAAGAGAGTTAAATTATAACTATCTCTGTTACTACATTTGTGTGAGACAGCATCTAAAGCAATCTTGATTATTACAAAAGACTCTCAGTGGATTTCACAATAGGAACAGTATTTCGGTAGCATAAGAAGATTAAACAATGAAAATAAAACCAACTCAGAAATAAAATTTACTTTCTTCTTTTGGGAGAGCAACAGCTATTATCCTTATCTGTGATATCGCTGTGGCATTATTCTGAGGAAGAGTAGTGGCATATGGTAAATGCAACAAGGAGGGCTGGGATACATAGAAAATATGAGAAGAGAAGAATGTTAGATTATTGACTGACTGTTACTTCAAGGATATATATTGTGTTAAACAGCAGTGCAGTTCAACGTATTTATATTAGTAGTTCCATTACTTATCAGTGTTTGATTTCTGTATTTTTACAGAATTCTTCTTGCAATTTTAGAAATGGAATTAAAAAATCTGTTTTATTTGATCTGATGCTTCCTGTAAAGATTTTCAGTTATCTGTGGTAGAAAATTGTTGACTTCAGTCACTGATGCATAACATTCTTCAACAATAGAAAGATTTTGATTTGCCTTAAAATACACGATTCCTTTAATGTTTTGGTCATTTACACTATTTTTAAGGACATCTATTTTTTTTTTAATATCCTTTCATCTTCAACATGGCCCTAGAAAGACCAAGAATTACACAACATTTTAGAAAAATGTGTCCTAAATAGTTTAACACTATAACAGAAAGTGTTGAAGGCAGAAACAGATAAAACAGAGGTGTTTCTGGAAAATACCTGGTGAAAATACTCAGTAATGATCAATTGAGGTGTTGAAAAGAAAGTCATAGTCTTAAGAATAGATGATTCATGATATTATCCATATGGATATTATCCACAATTCTGACATAAAAATAGTGTTCCCTATCCCAAGATGTAAAGAAAATCCACTTTGTAGACAGATATTATTTGATCAGTATTAATGTGGTGTGCCAATTAATAGATCAAAAAGAAAAGCTTTTGTATTAAATTCCAATGGAGATCAAGATCCCTGCTGTAAACATTTAAGATATTTCATATCCTTAGCCACAATTCTCCAAAGAGCTTCTGGTAGAAATAAAACGTCTCCAGAGTTTTGCGAAATTATGGCAACAGCCTCCCAGATCCCTCAGGGCATCATATAGCTGGTGCTCTGCTTTTGTGTAAAGAGATCTTAATAAAATTCAAACAGCGTGAAATGGAAAGTCTAGAAAAAATGACGAGGTTTCAGAAACTGAAGCAAAATATGATCTTTTTGTTGGTTTCAGAGGATGAAAAATCCCACAGGGATAAAAACAAGGAAGCAAGCAACAAAGCATGATTAAGATTCAGGAGCTAAGCCACCTGTTTTGACTGAGCAAAACGTAGCCACCACCGTTGTTGATTGGACATGGTCTGTACTGCCTGCATGACCGCTGGGTGAAGGCAGCGGTGTGGGCTCTGGCACTGTCCCGACACCTTGACTATCCACAGGACAGCACCATGGGGCTCTGGTTCCCAACAGCAATGGGTGACTGTGGCAGATGTGTCATGACAATGTCGGCCACTGATGGCAGCCTCCTGGTGCCCAGATTGTGGGCTTCCCTGGCTAACGACGGATGATATGCACACAACCACTCAAAACTGGAGGTGGAGGAGAATTATGGGCATCTTTTTTTAAAGTGCTGAATTCCCTTAACTTGCTTTGAAGCTTAACAGAACTTAAAGGCCCCGAGAATGAAGCAATAGGTATCTGGCACATTTGAGCTCTGTAAAAGCAAAAATTGTTAGAATAAAACTTTATTTCTTCCATCTAAACTTTTATTAGTAGTCTGTCTCCCAAGGAGATGAAATCCTTTGCCACAGTGAAGTTTTCCTGTTAAGCTTCTCAGGATGTTATCGTTTTACTCAGATAAAAATCTGAGTTTAGACCTGGTAGTCTAGTCAAGTCTAGCCTAGTCTTGTCTTTTCTATTTTCTGTTCTATTCTGTTCTAGTTACAACACTAAGAGCAGTGGCATGTTTTAGGGTTAGTTTCAGTCTTTCTAGAACAAGGACACACAAACTAAACCACAAGCACTCCTAAGCACGATGGAGATGGAGACAGGGAAAGGGGTAAGTGCCTTCCTAAACTTAAAAGAGTTTTGCCAAAAAAACCCCAACAGAGGACCTTTACTTATCTGGCCAATGGGAATGGACAAGCCCATAAACTGAAACACAGTTCTTGCTCTATTTACAGTCAAAACATGATCAGCAGAACAAATAAACTGTTTTCTCCACATCCTCTACTAGATCCAGATAACTGTCGATGTAAAGCTACAGTTTCGGGTTTAGCCTTGCTAGTGTGTTGTTTTATTACAACTGAAAGTGCAGTATCTGTGGGTGAACTGAAATTTCTGTATGTTCAAAGCATACAAGGTTGTTTAGTAGCATCCTTTTTCAGTTACTATGAATTATATTTTAAAATCAATCAAATAATTGCTGCTTGCAACTTTTCTCAAAACCTTTAAAAAACTCTACATTTTCTACCAACTTTTTAAAATGAAAAATGACCTTTTCCAAAGCGTAGATCAAACCTTGTCATAATTATTGCTTTTTGCATTTCTGCAAAAGTCTTCTGTGTTTTTGACACTTAATAATAAAAACTTGATTATAATTTTATGTCAAATTAATGCCATCTTCATAATTTTACATTTCCTAGAATAACTTTAGAGAAAAGAGAGAAGAAAGGTGTGAGCCTCTTGTTTTCCTGATAGTCTCACAGTTATGCACTGCAGCCCAGCCAACTTGGTATGACCTTCACTGTCAAAAAAATTCACAAATTTTGTATACTTTAATTTTTTTTATGAGACGCTTAACAGTCTGCGGATTCCTGAAAAACGCTGATGTTAGCTTCTCTATTTCTGTGTTTCCCAACTTTAAAACAGGAATGTCATTAACTTGTGCTTTAGGATATTTAAGGATTCAATGCATTAAAACGTATGAAATGCTTTGAATAAAACAGGACAGTGCATTTTTGTTTTCCCGTATTATTACAGAAAGTACAGTTGGGCAGATAATGAAACCAATAGATAAACATTGTTGAAAATCATCATAAATTGTTCACTTCTTAAAATACTGCCACAGCTTTTCCCATCATTGTTAGTTGGGAGAAGGTGAGAGCTAAGCTTGTGGCCTAGGATAAAATGGATTCAGAGATCAATAGTGAAAGTTCTTGCTTTTACTCAAAGGTAGGGCTTCTTTTCGAGACAAAGAGATTTTCCCATCAGTACTGCCAGATTTTTTTCAACATTTCCCAAATTTCCACAATGGTTTCCCATTGCCTCTGCTCACTACAGTAACTTCAGTCTTGTAGAGCAGAATCAATACTATATATTAGCCTTGTAGCATTCCCTTCAAAGAGGAAACCATTGACTTGATTTGACCACCATATATGGTGCTTATTCCCAAATTAGAGGTTCATGCTCCCATTTAATGGTTGAAATATTTTAAAAGTTTAACAGTGCAAAATTCAGCTACTGCATGATAGGACAAGAAGTTGACAGCCTCATTTCACTATTTCAGTTAAGGGTAAAATGCATTTTCACAATAATGAAGGTTGTTTGAAAACTGAGATGCTCAGAAACATTATATGCTATAAGGCTTTGCTTTAAAATAAAGGATAAAAGATAACTGTGACTAGAAAATTTTTAGTTCTTCACATATCCAAATCTAATTTCTTTAATAGATTCAAATGATTACTATTTGCTCACAAATAATTTAGCATTTAAGAAATAATGGCTAATTAGTAAATTCATTACTCAAAAACTTATAAAACTACATAAAAAAAAACTAAAAAAAGGTAAACATTCTCAGATAGGCATTGAAAAAATACTAAAAAACTTTTATTATTAATAACTAATTAATTACTATTAATATCTATAACTATTAATAACCAATACATAATAACTACTGCCCTAGTCTAGCATTTCTAGTTCTTTAAATAAAAATGGACCTAAAATTTTGAAATGAGGTACTAGCCAGTAACCAGAGTGCTAAAAGTAACCAGTACCAAATCAGATGTAACTGCTGTTGCATAGTTCACACTTAATGTGAAAAAGCTATTAAGTCAGGCACTTCAAGGCCCAGAAAGGAAGTGAGTTAGTGTTTATCTCCTGTGTGCTGAAGAAGGTGCTACATACGGACCAGACCTGTAACTCACAAGATAGGTAGTAAATAAAAGATATCCTTTCTTCCAAGCTTGAAGCTGTGGCTGTCAGTCAGGAAAGAACTAATTGGTATGCAATATTTAACTCTGAACTGAGACACTTATTCCTTGTGTTGCTACAGCTTTGATTTTCTAAAAAGTGGTGGAAACTAGCGATTTTGCCTGCAATTTAATTAGACTATCAGAGGAGACACACAAGCACTATCTCTCTTGTGGATAGCTAACTTTTGTTCTTTCCTTGTTTGTTGTTATCTGAACTTGAGCTAAGCCATTTTGACAGAAATCCTGTTTGTTCTTTGTGTACAAGGACATTACACA